TTTGAGGACTGTACAGGCTGTAGTGATGTGCTAGAACTTTTTAGGATGACTTTAGTACCCCTACGATTAACGATTCTCCAGGACATGGAAATAACCATTGTTTACAGAGCTGAGTGTTGGTGACAAGGTCTGACAGGGTCTGTCTACTAAAAAATATGGTGGCAATATTAGGTAACTTTTTTTCCTATGACGTTTTTTGTAGGTTCTTGTTGTAACTAATTTAGGATGAGTTTCTATGTTGTATATTACAGTTACATTATGTGTAACAGATTGTTTTTTCTCGGCACAAAATAAAAATCGTCTGTATTAATGTAAAGATATTGAGAATAAAACCGTTAAGGTTTTTCAGCATGGTGGATAATGGTTTGTTCTTTTTGAATCACTTCAGGTAATCTGAATCTGTTGACTTCAGACCATTTCTACTTTTAAGGTTGGAAGAAACTGTCTAACTGTGCTTCTCTTTACATCTGTACATACTTTGAACACAAGCTGTTACCCGGCTGGAGAGCTGCGAGCAGATCTGGGCTGCATCATGGATCACCATGATCTGTGAAATTGACTGATGGTACTACAAATATAAAGCCATTTCAGTGGCCCAATGACAATACACATATTGGTTTCATTGAGCCACATCGGTATGGCAGCCCAGAGTTTGCCCAGTTAGGACTCTAAGGCGAGAAGGAGAAGGTTCCTATATTCTGAAAGCAGAGACTATATGGCCTGCCAGGGAAGGGAAGGTTTAATGGCTCTCATTTCCAAAAACAACCTTTAATTAATTAGTAGGAAAGGAGATTGGGAAAGCATCCTGACATTCCACTGGCAAATCACCCTCACCACTCACAGGTGAGTGAGCCAGTAAGGATGCAGGGTATATTATTTTTCTAATACTTTTCCGAAGTCCCAGTAACAATGCTAAGGCACACAGGCTTGTCAGTAAACTTGGATACTCTACCAACCTAAATAAAGAGAAGACAAGGATAAGCAAAAACTGGCTTTCTCTTACCAATACTGACTGATTTCTCCTTGTAAGCCTTTTAGTCACAAATCATTTATTAATGTAGAAAAATGTACTAAGAACCTAACTGCCTACCAGGTCCTATGCCAGGTGCCATGGGTAGAGAATGCATTGATTTCCTAGAGCTGATATAACAACTCACCACAAACTGAGTGGCTTAAAACAACAGAAGTTTATTCTCTCACAATTCTTGAGGCCAGAGTCCGAAATCCAAGTGTTGGCAGGGCCCCATCCCCTCAGAAGCTCTAGGGGAGGCCCCATCCCACGCCGCCTCTCACTTCTGGTAGTTGCCAGCTTCCTTGGCTTATGGCACATCACTCCAGTCTCTGCCTCCGTCTTCACATCATCTTCTGTGTCTGTTTCTCCTCCGTGTGTCTCTCACAAGGACACATGTCGCTGGAATTAGGGCCCACCTGGCTAATCCAGGATGACCTTATCTCAAGATGGTTAATAACATCTGCAAAGGCCATTTTATGAAAAAAAGTAATGTTCCCATGTTCCAAGGATAGGATGTTGACATGTCTTGGGGGGGGGGGGAGGCACTCTCCGATCCATGACAACAAGAAAGATAATTAAGACGTAGTTCCTGGCTTTACAAAGCATAAAGACTGGAAAATATCCTGGGGGAACTATGACTGAGGGATACAGTGAGAGGCGAGAGGAGGAAAATGGTGGATATGAGAGACCCACGGGCTAACCAGGGCTTAGTGAATCAAGACAATTTTCAAAACATCCAGAAATAATGAGCAGGTGCCCAGAAGCCAACAAGACTGAAGGAATACAGTGAGAAGTAAGATGTTAGAAATGCTCTTTTTCCTTGTGGATGCATTTGAATCAGCAACCTAATCAATCCATCCAAAACTCGCCAGATGCTCAAAGACAGCAGTGCTCACCAGACCCTGAATTCTCATATTCAAATAAGAACCCGGATTTGCAGGAGTGGAGGGGGTACAATGGGTAATAGATTCAATAGCACTAGATGGCAAAAAAGAATTCTGCTGTGACTGAAACTGGCAGGAGTGCTAGATAAGTGTGCTGAGAAGGAGCATTTGCTCACCATAAAGGCTGAGGTAGGCTGATTGGAGAAAAGATAAAGCCAGTCCACTGATGGAATGTGACAGTCTGAGGAAGGCAATTATCAGATGGGTGTTTCCGAGACACAGCTGATGCCTAAAACAATCAAATTGATCACGAATCTTTTCAAACAAGACAATTAGGCTGTGGGTGAGTTTTGAGAAAGCTGTTTTTGATGGCCGAGTTTTGATCTATGGCCACTGTATTCACGCCCTGCCTATACACTGAAAATGCATTAACAGATAGCTCTCAGCATTCTCCTTCCCTGCCACAAGCCTTGTTTCCCATTTCAAAGTGTATCCTCTAACACGTGATCCCTAGAAATGAAATTAAAAAAAATATTCACAGTATGTATGGAAAATAGCTGCTATAAAATTGTTTTTACATAAGCCATTAAAGAAAAAAAAAACAACATAGGTTGGGGATTGATTTTTTTAATTTTTGCTCCAGTAACAACATTTCATCCTTCCAGAATATAAAACTGGTTGAGGTGATCCATCTTTGCAAAAAACTTCCTGAATTTAAGACACTCAAGAAGAATAATATATCCCACTCATAAAAAAACAACCCCCCCCAAAAAAAAACCAACAAACAAAAAAACCATATCAGAGCCTGACAGTGTGGTACATTATCATTGGTTTTCCAAGTGTTTCCAGTTTCTGAAATGCTGTGTCCTCTCTGGTTTAAACAGTAATACATTCCCTTGCCAATTCAGGTTTATCATGGCAAAAGAAAAAGGTCTCATTTTCATGCTGTTCGGCAAGCTGGTCTGCAGACCACACAGAGGGTAGCTGAGAAAGGAGGTAATTCAGGCAGTGTCCCTTTATAGAATTCAACTCACTCTATCAGCCTGCCCCGCTGCTTTCCTCACTTATCTACCACGATCGCTTTGGGGCCTGGAGCTCTTCAGCAAAGGGCTGTAAGCATGGAGAAGCCAAGAAAAGTGAGAAGCCAAAAAGAAGGAACACCAGTGTGGGTTAGAACCATCCCAGCTCTAATCACAAAGACCCAAACCAACGAATAAGTCAATCATCACTCTTGTTCTGTGACAGAAAACTTAGATTTGCATAATTCCCATTAGTTTAACTCATTTATTTAACTCAACCAAGGGTAATCTGACATCAGCCATCTGAGATTAAGGAAATATTGTCCTTCTCCAAACCAAATTTACCAATTTCCACAAGCTATTTTAGACAAAACTCTTCTTCCAACAGTTATTAATAAGATGAGGAAAGCTGCAGCAAATTAAAAGCCTTACTGGGACATTTTGTTCAGGGAAATTGGAGCTCTCTTCCTTGAACCACCAATCATTAAAGAAATCCTAAATGTCTTTTGAAGCTCAGTACATCTTAAAACAAGATTTGGTAAATGTGTGTGGATCGAAGTGTGTCCTTCCCGAGCCCATGCAAAGAACCTCTCCAGTGTCAGGCTTAAGACTCCAGGCTGAAGCCACTTTGTACATCAATATCCCCTATTTCCATATGGTTACTTTAAAGGGATCTATTATAAGATCGAATATTATCTCCAAATCCAGTTACCAAGCAATAAATGTTAAGTAAACCCCACTGAGAAAAGGCTTTTAAATTAGTGTTGCTGGTTTACTTTGAACCAGTTTTTGTGCTTTACTTTTATCAGTTGCTAACCAATAACCATAACCAAGTCCAAAAACTACAAGAGGAGCTCAGAAGAATACCTGGCTTTGTCTTTGGCTGGGTGATTAAATCATCACGGAAGAGTGTTATTTTCTTCTTGAACATCTTTATAATGACCTGAGAAACTTTGAAGGCTGTAAGCTCCTAAAGGGCAAAAGACTCTGTGCGAAGATTCTTCTGAACAGTTTTGCTCATGGGTGGCAGTGATTTAAACTGGGAGTTAGCAAATCAGAGCTCATAGGTCAAATCCTAGCCCAGCTCCTGTTTTTTGAAGTCCTGTGACAATGCCTCCACAATTTTAAATAGTGAGGAAAAAATCAAAAGAGGCATAATATTTTGTGACAAGTAAAATTTAAATGAAACTCAAATTTCAGTGTGAAGTTTTATTGGAATGCAGCCATCCCCATCTGTTTACGTATTGTCTGTGGCTGCTTTCATGCTACAAGGGCAGAGTTGAAGAGTTGCAACAGAAACTACATGTCCTGCAAAGCCAAAAATATTTATTATCTGACCCTTTACAGAAAAAGGCTGCTGGCCTCTGATCTAGACAATCGCAACAGTAATATCAATTAATATCAAGGGCAATAGCAGTATCAATTGATTTCTAATTACTCATCTCCATAATAAAGTTTTACTTCCTTCATTTTTTATCCTAAAATGAACTCATCTGAAAATGTTAAACCAAATCAAATAAAATCCAGCAAGAGTATAATTCCTGGCCACTTACTATGAACTCCATTTTAGTATCCAAGGAGTGAGTTAGGTGCTGGGAACTATTTCTTTTTTTTCCTAAGTTTATTCCCCCTGGGACTTTTTCTTTAGGACTACCTTAATTTAGAACTTGGCCTGTAAACCTGAGATAATATTCATAGTTACTATAAAATAGATGTGAAGGTATTTTAAGTCCTCTCAAGGTCTACTCTACATATCTTTTGTGTAAAAAGATAAATGTGAGCAACACTGTGACTTTACACTTGACAATGAAGTCATCTTCCCACCCCAACTCCCAGTAAATTTACTTTCATGATCTGCACATTAGCCTCCCATGAGGAATAACCGTGAGCCACAGGAAGTAGCTCTAATTATATAGGTCAAAGGACAGTTGATCATATTGACCTTGAACACCATGATGAGTCAATCACCTAAGAACATGGAGACCACAGCTGGTAAATTATTGGACCCAAGCAATTCTTCCATATAACCATTTAAACCACTTTTTCTCCTTGGGAAGAAAATAATGACAAAAGGCTACACAAAAATACTATGAAACATTTTTAATCCTGGAAAGGATCTGATTGCTAGTAACCAAAGAGAGGGAAAGTCAACAAGAATAAAATTCAGTCAAGTGAACATATATCAAATTGCTCAACATTGTGAAATGGCATGATATAATTTATCCATAGAAGACATGGTCTCATCCAGTGGAAAACTGACTTAAATATGTTTTGACAGAGTGCTAAGAGATATTATAGGTGACAGTTGACTTAATAAAGTATTTAAGGCTTCAAAACTGTGCCTTTAGAAAAATAACAAATACCTTCTTCTATTACTTAGGAAGGGAAAGAAACAACAAAGGTCAATTAAAGTCATAGAAATATGATTAATTTGTTTATGCCTTTCAATATTCCAATGAGCTTTGCAAAGGCAATACCTAAAACCAAAGTAAATTTTATAGCCAGGATTGGTCTAAATATTTTCCTCATAATATTCTTTCTGTCATACTTCTTTAGTGCTTGGAATAAAATGACAAGCACTGGGATCCAAAAAAAAAAAAAAAAGGCAGCTCCATTCCAAACATGGGACTGAACTGACGAAATTTATTTAATACCTAAAATTAGAAATAAATTCTTCAGTACCAACTACATTTTCAGAGAGTTCATTAAAATTTAAGGCATTTTGACATGTCAGAGATTTTAGTTCAGTGACAGGAGAAGAAAGAAGCTACCTGGGAGCAAATCCCAATTATCTCTATGTCTTGGCACATGCATGTTGAGCACAGCCAACAACATAGAGAGAGTGACAGGTGACTGCACAGAAACTGCCTGACTCTATCCAGCTACACAACTTTGGCAGGGTTCCTCTACAAGGGTGCATTTCAAATGAATTTTCATTCTTCTGTTTAAGTTTTGGCCAAAATGGGCAAAGGCTCATCAGCACTGTTAGCAAGATAAAAATAAGCAGTGCAAAAATAATTTCTTCCTCATAATAATATTTAAGAAATGAAACATGAAAAAGGTTTATATTGAATGATGTTCTCCCTGAATCTTACAACAATGAAATAATGGCAGCCTCACCTATACTTATGAATCCAACAGAAGAGGTACACAAAGCAAACATTAATTCATTCAACAATAACAGCATAGCCCAGTGTTTTACCCATCAGCCAGATAAATGCAATTATTTATTTTCTCCCAGTTTTCACACACGTAAAGACATTACCTATTAAATCAAAGTTACAAATATACCTTATTGAAAGACATGGGGCAAAGCATTCAACAAACCCTGCCCATATGCTCTGCTTCTCTCAGCCAACCACCCATCTTTTTAAAAATCTGGATTGAAATCTATAAAGATTATACTGTTTATTGGAAACATACCAGAGCACCTTAGATCATCAATGGCCAAGAAACTCCCCTCTTTCTCAGTTATAAAACAATTAGGGTTTATACAAAATCGGTCAAATCCAACTTCATTCAAACTGCTTTCAACAAATAATATTCAAGACGTGCTAACACTAGTAACCTGTCACAGGAGGCATCACAATTATCTGGATCATTTTTGAATAAGAACAACACTTATTTCATAACTGCTTGTGGTACAACCACATTCTTATTATGAGTACAATTATACGCAATTTTCCAAATGAATTTTTGCCTCACTGACTTAAAAAGAAAAACTTTCATGGAAGTCATAACCCTCAACATCTTGTAGCAGAATAATAACCATATAACCTTTGATGTTTGACATCGGGCAAATATCCCACTGCCATTTTCTGGAAACCACAAAATTATCCAAATACCTTTGTACAGTTATCTATACTTGTACACAAGTCATCCCACTTTCATCTTCATGATTTTGCAAGATGATCTAATAAAAAAAAGTTTTCCCACTCATTTTACATTTTACTTCAAGCATTGAAGTTTGAAACCATTTGACTTGAGTGATAGTGTCACTTGTTTGTATTAATGGAAAGTCTTGCCTTTTTTTTTCTTTTTTTAAGATTCCTTTAATGCTTTTAGTTAAGCTCACTTATCAGTTTCGATAAGAATGGAATTTCAAAGGTAATTATAAGTTTAGATAACCCAAGCTACTTCTGACTCTTCCTAAAAAAATTACTACTTATTTACGCTTCTGAAATCAAGAAAGATGCCCTATGGAAAAATTAGAAGTTTATTGTCTTTCTCTGTTACCATTTTGAATAGAAAAGATGTTTTAAGGTCTGTCAGGAAAATAAATAATGGGAAAATAACTATACCTTTAAAAATTTTTCAAATTCTTCCCCCAAACATAAACAAAGAAAAGACAAAATGGGACCACAATGCATATGCCGACATCTGCCCTCCAAAGCACAGTCTATATGTAGAAGTGATAAAGAATCAAAGTTACCCATTAATTTATATGGCATGCATCAATATGCACTGGTGGGCTTAACCTTGGTTTTCAGTTATGTGTATATACAGACAAATCTCTTCCTGAGTTGAGTTTCATCTTCAGTTGAGACTCAAACCATTTGCTTTCCTATTTTTGGCAAGATACTTGACCGTGTGATAAGGCAATCAAACGTTTCCACCTCCTTCCCTTCTTGGCGCTCCTCTGGGACATTACCAACGTGCTGGGGATGAGGACAGGCTCTATACTATGGTCCTGGAAAACTAGAGAGCAGGTTTCTGTGTTCACTAGTCTGAAGGCTGCAGAACTGTCTTTTCATATATTTGGGGGTCGTGAGGATTTCAGTTGAACAGATTCAAAATGGTCTTCTTTTTCCTATGAAGAAAAAAATATTAAAACAAAATCAACTCACTAAAATTCCAATAAGATTTTTAGGATCTTATGTGTCCGGAAGGAACGGTCTGGCAGTCATTGTAATCTATGTACCTGCCACTTCTAATTAGGATTTTACATTTCAATAAAGGTGTCAGATAGAAAACAGAGAGCATGCCATCCCCGAAGGAAGCTTTTGATGTCCAGGAGATAAGACAGACAATGCAAAATGGAAGCAAGTACATGATTGCAATAGACACTAAAAGATATAGCTGTGATTCTTGGGAAGAAACCATTGAGACCTTCCTGGGGGGACATCTGACCTAGGTGCTGAAATAGGTGACCTTGGAGGGCAAATTGTGGACATAATAGAACTGACAGAAACTAAAAAGTCTCAAGATAGCATAGGCTAAACAATAAGAAAAAGGCTGGCAGAAATAAATAAGGCAAACACCAATAAAACCTAAGATCATTTGTGTTCACTGATATGTTTTTGGAAAATCTTTTGGGTACATGTATGCCAAAGATATTAAAAACAAGTCATCTGAGATAATAAATCAAAATTTTAATGCAAATATATCATTACTGGTGTTTTTTATATAATACATTCAAAATGTAGCCTATTAAAATAAATTATTCTTCTTTAGAATAAAGGAAAATAAGAGGTGCAATTTCTTCCAATGTTTTCACTGTTAAAGTCAGAAAACAGCTTTCCGAAGGCTGCCGGAATGATATGGGCGAGGGGCGGCGGGGGCCTATGCTATTGAAGAGAATAAAGACAAAGAGAACTAGGATTATTTTTAAATAGAGGGAATAGGAGGCAGACCAGTCATAGGTGCGAATGGGTATGTGTCTAAAGTAGAGAAACAAAGTGAGAATAGGATGTTGACACTGAGTATCTGTCAGAAAGACTACAGTTGCTTTTGTGCTTTCTCCCATTTGAGTGAAGAAGCCCAAGACTTGATAGACAAGCTTTAGGGCAAAGGGACAGGATTCCAGAAAAAGAATCACAGCATGAACACCAACATATCGCTTTTCCCAGCTTTTGCTGAGGTGACAAGCCCCTGGGAGGCAGACCTCACATCTCAGCGCTCTAACTCACTGGCTCTGTAAGAGTTTGTCTGAAGTCTCATGTTTCTCAGGCTTGATTTTTTTGGAATAACCACTGATAATTCAAATATTTATTAAGCACCCACTGTGCTGCAGGAAGAGGGCTAGGCTTTGGGGATACAAAAATGTCTGCCCTCAAGGAGCGCATAGTGCACTACAAGCAAGAGCTTTAGGGTATCGGCCATGAGCTAGAAAGGAATCTGAGACTTTTGTGGGCTTTCCTTGAGAAGAATTGAGTCACATGTTCCTGTGAATGGGGGAGGGGAGGCAGAGACTTGCTGATTACCCTCAAGGTAATATATAAAGTAAAACATTGAAAACCCTTTATAAAATCATGTTAGCCTCATAGGGCTTTAGTTACTATATACTCTGTGTTCACAGGGGATTTTGCTCCTATCACTGATATAGTGGGATATATATGTGTGTGCGTGTGCGTGTGTTGTGTGTGTGTGTGTGTGTGTGTGTGTGTGTGTGTACTGTGCATGCGTCCTCCAGCTGTAAATAAGATAGTCTCTGAGATAAGAAACAGTGTCTAATTTGATATATCAATCAAGACCTGGCAGGGTACCTAACACACAGTGTCCCATGACTGTGACATAAATAAAATGTAAAACTGAAAATAAATTTTTTTAAAGATTGCTGAGAAAAGTCAAGAAAAATAAATCTATAAATAAAACCCCACAAATCCAGTGCATTGGGAAATACCAAATAAGGTATGGTCTTTAGAATATAAATACGGGCACTTAAGATAAAGCAAGCTTTACATGACATGGCCGTTAAGAAACTTATAAACATTTTTTGCACCATGAAACCACGCACAACAAAATTTTTTAAGTGGGACATATAATAAGACTTGTGCAATGATATTCATAGCAGATTTATTTATAGGCAAATACTAGAAATAGCACAAGTATCCATCAAGAGGAGGACAGATAAATTTTGGCAATATCCATAAAATAGAATACTACTCCAGAATAGAAAGGAATCCGGTACTGATTAACATAAGGTGGATGAATCTCAGAAACACTTTTCTGAGTGAAAAAAAACTTACACAAAATATATTATGTAGCTACAATTATGTGAAGTCTAAAACAGATAAAACTACTCTATAATTTAAAAGGTCATTCATTACAGTGGTTTCCTTTGGGGGATGACAATGGAGATTGCATATAAAAGGACATGAGTTTACTTTCAGGGGTGAAACTAATGTTTTATATCTTAATAGGATTTGGGGTCACACAGCTATATGCATTTTTCTAAATTCATCAAATTGTGTACTTGTGATGTGTGCATTTCACTCTATGTAAATACTTTACCCTAAAAAACAAAAATGTTGAATTCCTTCATTAATTATATGTATCCTGAAGTACTTAGGAGTAAAATGTATTAAAGTCTGTAACTTACTTTGAAATGTATTTGTAAGTGGATAGAGGTATGGAGATACGTAGAGATATGTAATAAAGCAAATATAGTAAAATTTAGGTTGTAGGTATGTGGTTGTACCACTGTATAATTGTTTCATCTTTTTTGATATTTAATTTTTTCATTAAAAATCATTTTAAATTATTATATTGACTAAAATTGCTATTTAAAACAAAATGTTGTACTGTGAACCTTCTCAGAGAGAAAAACTCTATCTCTATCCTTCATCTTATTTCTTATGATTGTTTCCAAGAATCTTTTTAAGATTTTAAATCTCAAGCTATAAAATAAGAGCAGAGGATGTGCTGCAATATGAGGAAACACTTAAAAGTTTATGTCATACTTAACACACACTCTCCCCTGAATAATTCCCACTTAATTCTTTTAGATTCAGCTTAGAGGTCACTTTCTCTTAAAAAGCCTCCCTGGCATCTCAATGCTTCTTTCATTGTAAGACAACACCCTTACAAATAGGGAATCACAAAAGCTAACTAGTTGAGAAGTCCAAGTGGATGGTGATGGAATATAATTCTCCATGGGTCTCGTGTTTCTGCTGTCTTACGAGGAAGACACTGTTTGTCCTTTTTCCTAAATAATCTTCTCAAACGTTTATATAACAAAAAGCCTTGGAGGGGTATAGATAATGTCTCCTACCAGAACAAAGGAAAAGTTTGCTTACAGTCCTGACAGCTAGAGATAGTGTCTCTCCCTGTAAAGCAAATGGCAAACATGCTTACTGCCTGTTATAAAAGATCCAGGTTCCCCAAGCTAAGGGCTCCTCTTCTATAATGTAACCTACTATGTGTACAAGAACCAAAGCAAACATGGACATTTTGGCTACTGCTATTGCTGTGAGTAATAAACTGCATTTTGTCTCCGACTGAGGAGATTCACAACTTCCAAAGTGTATGTGAAACTATGGCAGGCTAACTTGTTGGCTAGCAAGTAGACTGAGATTTCATAACTTCCACAGTTCTTCACTGTTTTGCTGATGAGAATGGGAAATTGACAGAGAGGTGTCTTTCTAGAAGAGGAATAATGAGAGCACCACACACTGCTTAATAATACTTGAGGGAAGTACACGAAAATTAGTGGCAAACATGTTGACCAAATTGTAGGGTCAACAACACAATAAAACGGTCCTCCACTTTATTTCCTGGAAATGAAGAGGAATGGGAGAGCTGCTTGCAGGCTGAGTACTGAGAAGTGGATTCAAAGAGTTCACAGTTCAGCTGCCCAAATGGATGTTAATTCTCCTTTGGGAAGGAGGACTTCCTCACCAATCAGGCAATCAGTTTCAGGTGTGCCCCATGGTAACAAGTAATACTAGAAATCATCCTTATAGGAAAAGAAGGCTTCACCTCCTCTCTCACAAGTTAAAGAGACATGCACTTTCAATGAGCATTGAAACAAAAATGGAATCCACTTATGGGTAGGAACTAGGTGAATTGTTAGCATTTTGGCTGGTTCATTTGGTGATGATTGTGCCAGGACTCAATGATGATTAGGTAAGACCTGCAACAGCGAGGCTATCTTAGGGTTCAACACCTCTAGCAATCTGTCATGCCAACTTTAGATCCATTCAAAGATGACAGAGGTTTTATAGCGGGTCCTGACTGCAAGGACAGAGATTTGGCTTTCTCCGGGAAATTTCCCTGAGGCTAATTCCCATAGGAATACTTAGTGATTAGTATTTGAGCTCTTACTACCCCATATTGGGTTTATAAGATGGAAGATGGTCACTGGAAAATGAGAAACTGACCTGGAGGAATCTTGATAAGTTAGTATGATCAGCCCCACCCTGGAAATTTTCCTGACCCTTTATTTTAAAACCAGGCATTAACTGAGAAGTTATGACATCGGAACGGGAAATAGGTGGATTCCATAGAAAAAAATAAAACTACAATATGTGAGTCAAGCTCAAATCGATAAAAGGACATGCAAATACAACAAACGGGGTTTAAGCAAGGTTCAAAGCGAGGAAGGGAAGATAATGTGACCTTGTGCGAGGGGTTCTACGTGCCCATTCAAGATGCTGTTGTTGCTTCTACGTCTAAATATACAGTAGGAATCGACAGCGTATGCTTGTACTTCCTCATGTCCTAAGTGCCAGAGGACAGTCCCCCGATGGAGAGCAGGCACATGTACAGAAGGGCTAGTGGGATACCCCAGGAGGCCTAACTCCTCTGCCATCTGCAACAAATGTGTGGGTCGGGGCTGTCCAGTCATTCCATAAGGTTGACAAATACCACTTCTGATGTCCAAAGTTGTCACTATATAAATGACGGCCTGTTGTTGTCAACTCAGAAGCCTTAGTCCCAACAACTTTGCCTGTGCTATCAGATTTCTGCCAGCAGAGATAGCTGCTCAGCCCCCTCAAAAGCCAGGGCCCCACAAATTAAGTAACATTTCTTGAGACTACGTAGGCAGATTTTCAATACTAAATCTAGCCAGCAAAGAATAACAAGCAGCACCTCGTTGGACTCGCTATTGGAGACAGTACGGCTTCACTTGAGTATTCTACTTGCTCTTGTTTTTGTTTTTGTTTTTTTTTAATCAGCTAACCCACAAAGTAGTGTCTTTTGACTTGGGCCCCAACTAGCAGGCTATGTTAAGAGCTGTCTAGCAAGCGGAGTCACTCCTATACCTTTGTGGTCTCACAACCCTAATGACCACTTTGTGATACGATTCACTGTGATTAATGATTTTGCTGGGTAGAGACTTGGGCGATGGGAAGCAGCCTTTACCCAGAAGCATCCTTTAGGGTTTTAGAAGTGTCACCTCCTTGACATGGCTACTCTTTTAAAAAGCAGCTACTAGCTTGTTACTAAGCTCCTGTCAAAACTGAATGCCATCTCCATTTCCAGCTTGTGACTCTATAGCCTGACAGCCCCATTCATGGTGGGCTGACAAGGTAGGAAAGGAACGATAAGCTTTACTTGTCAAATATAAACGGGATATTCAAGAACACAGATGGTCTGGCCGTAGCAGCATCCCGGCCTCACATGAAAATAGAGCAGTGTGCGCTGTGAGGGACACTTGATCCTCTACCTCACAAATCAAAATGATGCCACTGGCTCCATGGAGCCCTCAATTTGTTGACATTATAATACATGTCTGTGCCTGATTCACTGATGGTTTGGTTGAGCTAAAACTCCATGGTGGCCACTGGCTGCTGCAGCTGCCCAATCCCAGCACCAGGTGTGAACAACTGAAAACTTGCAAGATTGTTCAGGTCAGTGCTCAGTGGGCAGAACCCAAAGTCATTCTCATAGCTGTGGCCAACACATCTCTTGATAAGCCTTGTTATATTTTTACTGACCTAAGCTATTGCTAAGTCAATAAACTCTTTAGTCTGCCACTTGGAAAACTACACACTAGTAGTACTTCTTTCATACAACTAACTCTGGAAACAGATCTCAGGTGCTGATCAGATCAACTTGGTCATTCATGTAGATGCCCACAGTAAGGACCCATCCTCTGAAAAGACCAAATGGAATTAGGCATCTGATAAGAGACTGCACAAGACAGGCTGTCACACAAAGGCTGCCTGGATCCATCATGCTGCTCAACATAGCAAAGGGGAATGGGGGCTGGGAGGGAGATGATGACTGAGTCTACACAAGGTTATATACACTTCTATGAAAATCCAGGATTCTGCTCTACTTCTGGGCATGACGTGTCCTTATTTAGCCCAACAGCAAACCCCAGGATGCCTGATGGTAGTCCCCTCAGAAAGGAGCCTAGAAGATTCAAATATAATTCTGGTTTAGCCACTTGTATTGTTGTGTTGGATTGTCATGATCTAAATCAAAAGGATAGTGACCACTTGATTGAGTACACTGCTCACCAAGTTCCCCTACCACAGCCCAAGTAGACAAAAATGGGAGAGACATTAGGTCTCCGTAAATTTTTGAAAACTCTCTTGACTCTTTTCAACCTGAATCTTATGGAGGAAAGGTCTTGGTGCCAGTGGAAAGGTCTCAGGCTGAGTAGACAGGTCAATACTGGGACTTAAAGAGAAAGCCTTGTAGCTTCCTAAGGTGGACCCTGATGGCTTATGGGATTTGTTCAGATAGTTGGGTCTGGGGACCTGGGGTTATGACTGAGGTTAATAATACAGGTTGGTCTCATATTGCTGTTTGATATTCACTTGGTAATAGCTTTACTTAAGTGCTGTACGAAGTAAACTGACCATATCTGATTCTAGCCTCAGTCAGTTAGATTAATTAGAGTGGTCAATGGAGTGCTATACCAGTGGGAAAATTCACCAGAAGCCAAGATGGTGTAGAAACGAGGTTTTGATATTGTTGGCAGACAATCTCCATGGCTCTCTTGCATTTCTGCACATCTTATGAGAGAGACACGCATTTCCCTTTGTTTAGACTATCTTTTCAAGGACATTTGTACAGAAAACAGCCTTGGAAGATAAGATATTATCTTCTTCCAGAGCAAAGGGCAGGCTTGCTTAGAGTCTTAGAAATAGTGCCTCCCTCTGAAGCAATGAACAGGCATGCTGCCTGTTCAGTACAATAACAACAATGTCTCCCTTTGGAATAAAGGACAGGGATGCTTACTGTCCATTCTAAACGATTCAGATTCCCAGGGCTTAGGGTTCCTTTTCTGTAATGCAAGCCACTGTGTGTGCAAGAGTCTTCTGTTCCTTTTCACATAGCCCTGTGGGAAGCAGGGCTTTAGGAGCCAGTGTAAGTGCTGATACTCTGGCTAGTGCTTCTGCTGTGAGTGCTCAACTGTCCTTTGTCTCCAACCAGGAATCTCATGTCTTCTAAAGTTTCCATGAAACTGTGGCAGGCTCACTTGTTAGCTTGAAAGTGTGGTAAAACGTCAAATCTTGACAATCACTGTATATTCATGATTCCATAGCAACAGTATCCTTCCTAAACTACCATATTAAGACAAATTAAATAACCATTAGTAGAAGGGGAATATGGCTTATTTATTTTATTTTTAAGTGATCCTCTATGATATATTGATGTGCTTACATTAAGAGAGTAAAAGGAAATGGTTACTAAAACTCTCTCAATAAATATAATCCTTTGCCACTTGTCCTTCCTTCTGAAAATCATTTGACATGCATTTCCTTTCTGCTGTTTGATTATATTTTTAATCCTGAGTGGATAAACTGATAATTTCTCATCTTCTAAGTCAATGGTGAAGAATGTCAATAAAATGTGTTTACAAATAATATTTAAGGCTTCATGTTATCTGTTTGGATACAGTCATTTCAAAGTCAACAAATGTGATGGCATCTGATAAGGTATGTTTAATACCTCAATAGGTGATATAACTTTTATTTTCTGTGTATGAAGCAATCTTGTTATAATTTTTTTTAAAAAATTTGAATGAACATGAGATCTTTCATTATCATAATACATTAACTTTGTGAAAAGTCAAACATGACAAAAATGTATTACTTTAAAGACATCCATTAATGCAAAACTCCCCCAAAGCAGCTACTGTTATAGTTTGCTATGCAAATACTAGCATAAATAAATATTTAATAGAAATGTGATAGTCTATGTGTTATTTTTACTTTATCTTGTACCTATTGGAATAGATATTTCTATCTTTAATAGCTGCAGACTTGCACAGTATTCTAATACTTTGATGTATGAAAATTTCTTATCTAACTTCATATTGATGGTGTTTAAGGTTGTTTCTACTTGGTTAACCAGCAAAAACAATGCTGCAGTGAATATTCTTGTCTTTACATCCTTATGCATTTCTAAGAGTATTTCTGTTGGATAAATACCAACAGAGATAGAGACATGCTGAATGACAGGGCTTGCACGCATGACTACTGCTATTAGGTTACTACAACCCCTAATTGATAAACACACAGTAATACCAGGTTAAAATTCTGCTCTCACCTTTGTTGCCAAGGACTTGAGTTTTCCCAGTAGCGACTGTTTATTGGAATATACAACTTCCTCTTCATTATCTTCTCCTTCCATGATAGCACAACTGTCTGCAGCTGGGAGTTCACATTCTTTTGAGTTAGCTGTCATTACTAATTTGGAATATTTGTACTCCAGTCTAAGTAGTGGTAAATAAGTAAATAGATAAATAAAGTGGTGGTTTAATATAAATCAATACTTATTTTAGGTAGTCATACATTAGGTCATTAAATCATCTTTTAGTATAGCTGCTCTACCAACAAACTTCCCTCACCTACAGCGATCTCACTATTTGTCCTCATATATCTATCATCTACATACAATTTTTTCCCCCCAGGATTTCAGAGAATCAGCACAACACAGCTAACTCTATCACTTATTTTACATAGGCTAAATTGTCCAATTATGGACTTTTGAAAAACAAAAAGGAACCTTGGGATCTGAATGCCTCTTCTTAATTTATAAATATTTAGGTGCTAATTCTCTATACAGTGTTCCTAAATTTAGTCCATAAAGGAAAAGACTACCATACAGGCAATTGGTTCAGTCTTTACAGTTTCTCTATAGCACTCATTCCTTTCTGTTCAACACCTCAGATATTCCAATTATACTAATACAGAACTTCCACAGCCCTACTGACATGTAAATCATTTTTAAAAAGTCAAAGCATGTAACACATCAATATACAATCAGGAGTTAGACTCAATATTCAACTCCAGATTCTTGGAGTCCTGGAGTAAATAAAGGTGATATCTGCCTATACAATTAATCTGGTTCTTTGCAAATACCTGCCTACAAGAAACTGAAAAAGAAGAGGTCAGAAGACATCATGTTGTCATGATAAGAAAAATAAACACAGAGAAAAAAATCTGCCTTCCAATCTTAGACCTGAGGAATCTAGAGCCTCCATTTTTCTTTGTTTTGTAATAAACAGGTCTGATTCAATAATCTCTAATGTTCTATGATCTCTTTATTATCAGAATAACAATCACTTCCATTCATTTTCTTACAGACCTTCCCTACAACTACCTTCACTAGGAGAAACTCCCTGTGTCTCTGAGAGAAACTACTGGATATAATGATTAAGTCTAAAATTTTTGCAACAAAAGAGATCCTTCAGTTCTTATGTGGTCACTCCAATGAGGTTACTTACTTCTGATTCTTTTTCCAGAAATAGCAAGTTAGAGCCACCAACAAAACAGCTGTGAATGCTCCCACACCTGCTCCCACTTTTAGCCAAAAGTCAACTGTTTCGCAGGTTGATAACTTTTTCTCAGGCAAAGAAATTCCTTTAATGCACCATTTAGGTTCATTCCACACATATAAGGTTTCCTTTAAAAAAAGACACACACAGAGAAATGACATGAGAAATGAGACTCAGAAGGAGAAGGGTTTTGCTAACCCTTTATTCATAGTCAGCACCGAGGATTATTCAGCATTCATCTAATAGAAGCTCTAGAGATATAGGAGCTATACCGACTATATAGAAGAGGTACCGAAGAGAGTGAATAAGCAAATGATGAATGAAAATGCAACAGAACCAAATAAAACCATGGATTATCAGATCAGAAGGTTTGGTGAGGAAATTCAGTAAAAATGATTCCATCTGGACACATTATTTGGGCTATTTTTCTCAAATTTCTGATGATCCTTAACTTTTTAATCATGTTTTTAAATGAAAACTTAGTTGTTTAATATAATTAATTGGAATGGGTTTCACCCACCCATCATGGAGGTCCATTTCTACAGCAAGCCTCTCCTCTGAACAGAAAAGCAGACTCTGGACCTAAGACATGTAGGTGCAACATGACTGCAGGCTTTGGTGACTGGTGTGGGGGGACGCGCATAGACTGCACCCCTCTTCTCCAACCAAAATAAGGAGGGCCTCATTCTGGGTCACCACTACCCACACGGGCTTCTTAACTCAGCCTCCCAAAGTAGATAAGTCAATTTTATTCGGGCAATGTTTTTAAACTACAAGTTCTAAATAGTGAATAATTAAGTCAATATACTGGGTCTCAACCGGCAATTTTTAAAAACAAAGTGATCAAATAAAACAGGTTAGGAACAAAAATCAGAGTCCAGGGCATGGCTCCTAAAATATTTCAACATGTGCAGTGACCAGTAGCAATCTGCATAATGATTACATCCATTGATATTAAGTGACATGGGGCATTAAATTTTGTGCTTATGGTGTCTCATTAAATTTTCTGGTGTATGGTGGTCACTTTACCAACACCCTAACAGAATGATAACACCATAATGTGTAATTTTATTTTATACACACGCACACATTTTTGCAGTTAGTCATGAAGTGATTGAAGTGCAGGAGAATCGTATTTATAAACTCTGAGGAAAAGTTTCAACCAAGTTCTGAATAAGAACTTTAAGCATGTTTTTTAAAAAAGGACATTAAAATTGAGAATATTCTTAGCACATGATCACTGTAACATTTTCATTAAACTCAGTGTGAATACATTACTTTTAAAATGGGTCACATTATTTTATATGAGAAAGATGAGGTGAGAAATGAAGACACATATTCAGGTTGAACTGCTGCATCTCTAAGTGTCAATAATGACAATAAAGAGATAAATGTTAACTCAGCAAATGTTGACTTCATCCAAAAGGCATTCCAATAAGAAAAAAAGACTACAAAGAGTTTATATGGTTTTATCAATGTCTAACACCCAGTAAAAATGGTAAGCTCTAATGTCTAATGACAATCCTATAAACAAACCATTAAAACTTCAAAATTAAAAAGATATTTATAAATCAAGTATGCTTAACTTTTCAATAAGCTCCTTAAATTGTTAAACAAAAAGAAATCAAGCTATTGACAGGATTGCTTAGTCATTCTATAACTTAGTCATTTGATAAATTTCTTAGTCATTCTGTTAATTAGAAAGCCTTTTCCCTTCATTCCATCAAAGGTCATTGGCAAACAAGAAAATGGCTGACACTGCAGCTGAAAAATGTATTCTTCCAGGGTGTCAGGGTATTTTGTGAACAGGGTGAGATAAATTTGATGATAAATTCAAAAACGTCCCTCTTAGTGATCACACAGTATCTCTTCAAATCTTTACACTATCTGACATTTAGAAGTAAATGTTTAATACATACTTGGAAGCTGGTATAGATTTTTGAGATCCAATTTGATAAAAGCACTTTTATCACAAGCCATGTGATAGCTCTTTTAGCTTATATCAGCTATATGTGGAGGACTTGTAGTGTGTAATTTTAACTTGATACGCATCTGGATTAGATATATTTACAGAATTGGGGAACTGTACTCTCAGTAAACATAAAGTGAAAAATTGTAAAGAATGGAGCAGGAAATAGGATAGAAACA